TGAAATAAGTAAGATCTTACATTCTTAAAAGTTCAATAATAATATAGGATATTAGATATGAATGAAGACTAATTTATGTTTCTGTTTTGAATAATAAGTGATTGTGAATTGGTAAAAGTTGATTTTTGCATCAAAATAAAATAGTAATTACTTGGTAAAATAAGTCTCCATCATATAGCTCTGTAGCTTATTTATATTAACAACATATAAATTAAACTTGTAATTAACTTTGTCCCTGAAGCTTTTGCTTGATACTGAAGGACAATAAGCAGTTGACACAAAGCAGAGGACTTCTGACCACCAAAAGATTCTCTGCTATTTTCGGTCTGTGATATAGGAGTTAGATATTTTATAGATGAGGTTTATTGGGCTGAGATCAAGCAGTCTATTTTTAATAGTAACTCTAAAGTATCCTGCTGTGTTTTATAAGAAACTTGTTTGTGTATGCATTGAGATCAGTCAGTTCCCCATCAGTATAATCATAGGGTTTGATTTTTATTGACTTATTTATCTTTAAATATTAGTCTCCTTAGTTTACAGTGTTATAGCTTTCAAAGTCTTGTATTTTTCATTCTTATTTTGAGAATTTTCCAGGGGACTTCGTCATGGTCAGTACTAGTAATAAGATATTGACCATTTAAACTTAAGGTTGTCATGAGCACTTATGCAGTAGTCTGTTTTCTACTAGGACTTTAAATTATTTTATATATACTTTGTAGTATCCATATGACACATGTCTGTTCACAAACAATGAAACTAAAACTCAAAAGAGGCTAGTAGACTTGTCCAGGACCAAACAACTTTTATTATTATGCACTTTTCAGGGAAGCCAAGGCACTTAAAAATCTCCTGGTGATTTTAGGCATAAAATATTAAATACAATTAAAGCATAACTAGCCAACATTTACTTTTCCCCATAAATTGTTCTTGAAACTTCTTTTGTAACTTGCCAGAATGTGAACACACTCTTTAGTGAGTGATAGAGAGAAAGTGAGAAAGCACCCTGTAGGGGGTGTTCACACCACAATCCTTTATCCTCCATTTCTCCTTTTCAGGATTTTGGGCATGCACTCACACACACCTGCCTTTTCAAGCTGCCGGGTCTGGGACTGGAACCACACAATCAGTCATCTGGAATCCAGCCACCCTAATCATCACACCACTGGCTAACTCTGTCCTTGAAACATCTTAACTGTGCTAAAAGTTATTTACATTAATGGCAAAAATCATGCCTTCCAAGGAAATCATGAATGAAAATTGTCATGTTGATTATTCTGTTGTAGAAAAACATGCACTCACGTAATCAGTCTTGTAGATCTTTCAGCTCTTGAAATGGCCGTAAGTTTGATTATGTTAAAGTTTCATGATCCTTATAATATGAATGATGTTAGAGTCGTGAAAAGCCATTGGTGGCAACAAGTTGGAAGTTGGATTTCCTGTTTTCAAAAGTGCTTTCTAGGTCGTGACTGCTAGTATATGAAATTTTGATGAGAATAAGTTCTTGTGCATGTGCTTCTGTAAATCTTGTGATCAAGAAAGATACTGCATTTTGGGTCTGGTCCTATAGAGCAGCAGTGAAGCACTGTGTAGAGGAAACTGGATCTTACATGGCCAACAAGGGTTTCAGTCTCAGCCTCTGCAGCTTACACGCTGGACATGTGAAGTCTGTGCACAGTTTCTTCATAATATACATTTTCTGTGAACTTTTTGAAGACCCATGTATTGTGATATAACTGTTTACCTTCATAAAAGATATGACCTTTTTTCCTCCAGTTACTATCAAGTAACCCATATCCTATTTTTAGTTATAACTAAGGAATGTAATTGTAATTTATAGATAATATACATCTGCCTGGTGACATCAGGAGAGCCTTGATCAAATACATAAGGTTAATTGATTAGCACAATCATATATTCTTTGAATTGTTGGAAAAGTCATGACATGTTTTTCTGTGCAAAAATGCATCATGACTTTTCCGAAAAACCAATATATTTAGAGTTCTTTATTCTTTGACCCATGTGCAGTACCATTTAAAGACAGTACAAGTAGACATTTTAAAAGTTGTAGGCTGTATGTGCTGTTTCTAAAATAAACATGTCCAACTTTTGTAATGAAGCAGGGAGAAACCCCAGCAGCACTGCCCAAGTACGCACTCATCTCCCTGAGATAAATCTGTGATTCCGACCAGCTCATCTTTGAGTCTGTTGAATGCATTTAGAAGTGATCTTTCCACTCTTGACTTTGGAAGCAAAGCATTGGTCTTTGGTTTTTGGCTCTGGAGATTTTTATTATCTTAAAAGTTAAGTCTCTTGGGGCCAGCAGGTGGCGTGGTGGTTAAGGGTGCTGGACTCCCACATGGCTGACCCACCATAGTTCAAATCCTGGACTTGGTCGCTTGTTTTCTTACTTTCTCTCTTTCTCTTTCTTTCTCTCTCTGTCCCCTTCTAGACAAATTAAATAAATAAAATAAAGTCCAATAAAATAATTATTTAAAAAAGTTAAAGTTAAGTCTCTTTAAGTCTATATAACTGGTTTCCAATCACTGTTTAGACTATTTGTAAATTATCAGTCCAAATGCATCTAGCCAGTTTGTCTTCCTGTTTCTAAATTGGAAGTGAGAAGCTGCTAATTAACTAAATTTTAGCCTAGCATATCTGAACACTTCAAAATAATAATGTGTAATATATACATTAATGCCCCTTGAAATAAACCTAATTTTGAAAACTAGCTATTTTAACTGTGCTAAATTAAAAAAAAAAACATTATTGTAAGTTTATTTCTTGAGTTATACTTGTATGCCATACAGTATTTTGGTTTCCTTTATAAATGCAAATAAAGGCACCTGTGAGACCTGGTATAAAATGTGACAGAATCGGAGATCAGCATAGTCACTTCAGGAAGCTGTTTTTCTGTTCAAAGGGAACCAAAATGTGTACAGCTGAAGCCTAGCTATATTGACAAATAACAAAAGGAAGCCCTTTGGAGGTATTCAAAGAAAAAAGCTGGCAGCAAATTGTTCAGAGTTTTACCCACTGTCTTATAAAATGAATAACATACTTACATACTACCAAACTTAAGGAGTTTCCATCTTGTTTTCGGGGGTTTGTTTCTTTTTCATTGGTGGTCTGTAGACCACTGGTCTTTTCCATCCAAACTACGCCTATTATCAGAAAAGTTGAGCAGGAGCTACTGGGCTGAAGTGTGGATTAATGCAGCTCAGTGCTTTACCTAATGCACACTGCTTAAAGCACAGGTGTTTCTTTTGTTGGTTGAATACTGTCTGATTTTCATTCCAGTGTAATTTACCTGCATGGAGATTAAGAATGCTCCTTTTTATTAAATAATCTTGAAAACAAGATGAATGCACTACGTTCTTGGTTAGAATGTATTGGGTAGTTTCTTTTATAATGAGCATTTAAAAATCTGCCCTCTGAAAACTGGAAAATGCCACCTTTCCTATGAGGAAAGCAATATAGTACTGAAATATCCCTCCTTAATTTTGGTCTGACGAACAAAAGTGTCTGTGTTTATTCCTGCCTAATGCATCACAAATCTGCTGACATGCTAACCTTGGAGTCTTGGCTGGCGTTAATCAGGCCTGTGCACCGGCAGGAAAGATGTACCTAATGCACTCCATCAGTGCAGTTTGCATATGGAAGTTCTCACAGGGGAGCTGCCCTATGCCAGCTGAGGGTTACCTGCCCACTGCAGTTATTGTATGTAATTATCGAACCAATCTGTTCAGCCCAGCAGGGTTTAGATGGTAATCATGAAGCAACACTTTGGAAAAGAAAGATGTAAGGCACTTTCCCCTTCTCACATCAGTTATATGAAGTTATAGCTACTCTTCCAGCTCTTTTTGAGAAGCAATACCTCCATATACGGATCTGCTAAATGAATGTCTTTTAAAGTTTCTTGAGGTTTATCAAGTTGTTGTTTTTGTGTATGTGAAGCCTTTTCTTGAGGAACAGGGTGGGTATCTTTGAGTTTTAATCTATCCATGGCCACCTTAAGGATGTTTGGAAACAGTGGAATTGATTGTAATTCATAGGTAATAACAGTTCTGACCATTTGGAGACTTCAAGGTACTGTGGTTTGAGCAGAGTTCAGCTTCCCCATGTCGTTCTCTTTGGAGCAGAGCTCACGGTTGCCATTAGGAGGAAGAACAGTGTGCTGTCAGCAGGTATTATCCTCGTGTATAGCTGTACACAAGATGGCCTGCAGCAAGGAACATTCTCAGATGAAGTTTAACCTCATACTAATTGTTAGAAAGTATAAATGAGGACATTCTGTTACATTGTAAATCTAGGGAATTTGGGACATATCAGATGGTTTCCTCAGCGAAATACACTTATTTTAGGCAACCTAGAGAAACTTTGAATTAAAGTTTGATTTTAACACATTTCCATTTAAAACTACAAGAGGTAAAGTTGCATGAAAATACCAAATTTTATATTTATTACTAATGTCCTCTATAATTATGCCCATGTGTAGAGATGTTCAGTAATGTGAAACTTTACACAGGGCTGGACTCATTAGAAATCGTAGTGATCACTAGTAACAGAAAGAAGAGGATGGTCCCCAAATGGGGAGAATGGTATCATTGGCCTGAGTGAGTGGTGACAGCAAGTCTGTAAAACAGTTTGTTTTAAAAGAGCTTCTGTATGAGCAGTCTTCATGGCTGGAACATAGATTCCCATGCTGAGCTTCAGGAAGCATAAAAGCTAGGTGATTTTAACAGGTACACTCCCCATCCAGAATAACTATGATTGGAAGTTCTCTACTCTCATTTTCTTCCTTCCTGCATTCCTCTGGTGGGTAGTACTATCCTGTAGTTGTGAATATCCTCCCTGTACATCTGACACACCCACACCTGTATACCTTCATGTATATATTGATCTATAGTAAGTTTATATTTTTTTACCTATTTGACGTTAGACCATCTCTCTCTCTCTCTCTCTCCCCCCTTCCCTCTCTCTCTTGTATTTTCATATGTAAGAAGAGAAAGAAGGAAATTGAAGAAAGCACAGAATCTAGTGTTGAAGAGATGGAATGTTCAAACTCACAGACAGAGGACGCCACACAGACCCGTAAGTTGAAGAGTTTTGCTTAACTTCTTCCATATATAAACACAGATCTCTCTTCCTTCCGCTAGTTGAGGGGCTGTTTGGGTCATAACAGGTTTTATAATAAAATGTTATTTAGCACCCTATATTTGAATCGCGTGTCCCAATGTCTTTTGTACACATCTTTTCCATCCAAACTACGCCTATTATCAGAAAAGTTGAGCAGGAGCTACTGGGCTGAAGTGTGGATTAATGCAGCTCAGTGCTTTACCTAATGCACACTGCTTAAAGCACAGGTGTTTCTTTTGTTGGTTGAATACTGTCTGATTTTCATTCCAGTGTAATTTACCTGCATGGAGATTAAGAATGCTCCTTTTTATTAAATAATCTTGAAAACAAGATGAATGCACTACGTTCTTGGTTAGAATGTATTGGGTAGTTTCTTTTATAATGAGCATTTAAAAATCTGCCCTCTGAAAACTGGAAAATGCCACCTTTCCTATGAGGAAAGCAATATAGTACTGAAATATCCCTCCTTAATTTTGGTCTGACGAACAAAAGTGTCTGTGTTTATTCCTGCCTAATGCATCACAAATCTGCTGACATGCTAACCTTGGAGTCTTGGCTGGCGTTAATCAGGCCTGTGCACCGGCAGGAAAGATGTACCTAATGCACTCCATCAGTGCAGTTTGCATATGGAAGTTCTCACAGGGGAGCTGCCCTATGCCAGCTGAGGGTTACCTGCCCACTGCAGTTATTGTATGTAATTATCGAACCAATCTGTTCAGCCCAGCAGGGTTTAGATGGTAATCATGAAGCAACACTTTGGAAAAGAAAGATGTAAGGCACTTTCCCCTTCTCACATCAGTTATATGAAGTTATAGCTACTCTTCCAGCTCTTTTTGAGAAGCAATACCTCCATATACGGATCTGCTAAATGAATGTCTTTTAAAGTTTCTTGAGGTTTATCAAGTTGTTGTTTTTGTGTATGTGAAGCCTTTTCTTGAGGAACAGGGTGGGTATCTTTGAGTTTTAATCTATCCATGGCCACCTTAAGGATGTTTGGAAACAGTGGAATTGATTGTAATTCATAGGTAATAACAGTTCTGACCATTTGGAGACTTCAAGGTACTGTGGTTTGAGCAGAGTTCAGCTTCCCCATGTCGTTCTCTTTGGAGCAGAGCTCACGGTTGCCATTAGGAGGAAGAACAGTGTGCTGTCAGCAGGTATTATCCTCGTGTATAGCTGTACACAAGATGGCCTGCAGCAAGGAACATTCTCAGATGAAGTTTAACCTCATACTAATTGTTAGAAAGTATAAATGAGGACATTCTGTTACATTGTAAATCTAGGGAATTTGGGACATATCAGATGGTTTCCTCAGCGAAATACACTTATTTTAGGCAACCTAGAGAAACTTTGAATTAAAGTTTGATTTTAACACATTTCCATTTAAAACTACAAGAGGTAAAGTTGCATGAAAATACCAAATTTTATATTTATTACTAATGTCCTCTATAATTATGCCCATGTGTAGAGATGTTCAGTAATGTGAAACTTTACACAGGGCTGGACTCATTAGAAATCGTAGTGATCACTAGTAACAGAAAGAAGAGGATGGTCCCCAAATGGGGAGAATGGTATCATTGGCCTGAGTGAGTGGTGACAGCAAGTCTGTAAAACAGTTTGTTTTAAAAGAGCTTCTGTATGAGCAGTCTTCATGGCTGGAACATAGATTCCCATGCTGAGCTTCAGGAAGCATAAAAGCTAGGTGATTTTAACAGGTACACTCCCCATCCAGAATAACTATGATTGGAAGTTCTCTACTCTCATTTTCTTCCTTCCTGCATTCCTCTGGTGGGTAGTACTATCCTGTAGTTGTGAATATCCTCCCTGTACATCTGACACACCCACACCTGTATACCTTCATGTATATATTGATCTATAGTAAGTTTATATTTTTTTACCTATTTGACGTTAGACCATCTCTCTCTCTCTCTCTCTCCCCCCTTCCCTCTCTCTCTTGTATTTTCATATGTAAGAAGAGAAAGAAGGAAATTGAAGAAAGCACAGAATCTAGTGTTGAAGAGATGGAATGTTCAAACTCACAGACAGAGGACGCCACACAGACCCGTAAGTTGAAGAGTTTTGCTTAACTTCTTCCATATATAAACACAGATCTCTCTTCCTTCCGCTAGTTGAGGGGCTGTTTGGGTCATAACAGGTTTTATAATAAAATGTTATTTAGCACCCTATATTTGAATCGCGTGTCCCAATGTCTTTTGTACACACGTTATGCTTGCTTTTCCCAGTAATCATGAAGTTGGGGCCAGGGAACTCATTTTGCAGAGTTGGAGCTTGAGACACTGAGCATTTGAATGCCAGGGCTATTGTGAAAGAGTTCGAGGTAGAGATCGTCACGCTGTAATTTTCAGGCCAACATCTTTCCACTTCCTCTCACTGACACATAACTCTGGAGATGACGGTGAACGTCGGGAGTCAGACGATCAGTGCACAGGCTTATTGCAGCTGCCAAATTCCACTTGCCTGTGAAGTCTGCCAACTCCTCTTTTCTCCCAACAAGTCAGGAGATGAGGAATTAAAGCTTTGAATCATCACTTTTCAAAGCTCTTGAAACAAAAAAAGTAAGATATGAAGTAATTTCTTAGATGGCTTATAAACTGATGTCAAATACACTTCTAATAATGGAGTGGTTCCAGAACTGACATTAGCAAACACAACATCTGCAAAGGGCAGCACCGGCTGGACTTCGGTTTGGTATATTTAATAAATGACCGGTACGCTTCAGGTTTGGTAATGGATGATTTACAGGACTCAACGAAGAGAGATTCAGTCTTACTCACCATACCTATTTTTTTCTTTAAGGATTTCTCTCCTGCCTGCCTGCCTTTTGTTTATTATTTTGTTGAGCCTGAAATATTTCTTGATTTTCAATAGAAGTGGCTTATTTTTGGTAGTATGGGGTCGTTGAAAAAGTCATGACGCATTTGTACAGAAGAATACGTCATGACTTTTCCAATGACCCAATAGTTTATTAGAGTATATGTGCCCTGTTGAGCCAGGCCCAGGCTGTATTCTTTTACCTTCTTTTTGACAGTGCACTGGTGCATTTTTGTAGATGCCCTAGCTTCAGAGAGAATCATCTTTACCCTGATTTAATAACATTTTGTTCATTCTGTATTTTGGATTGAACATACTAGGTTTATCCGCACTTACCCAAGAGAATACTTTCGATATGTAAAGAGGAAGTAGATAACTTTACTCTAGAGGCTGAAGGTTTTGAAGTAGTCCCTTTCTTTTTTCTGCTGCCATCTTCCATTCGCTTTTCTTTTTTTCCTCCTCCCTGTCTTGTTCATTTTGTCATTAGGAAGTGAGGAGTCCCAAGGAGCAATACAGCGAAGTGTGTCTCAGCCAGAGGCTAGCAGCAGCAACTGTGACAGTGAGTGGGAGGGAATTAAGGAGCATTTGTAGAGATAGAGTAATATTCTTTATTTTTTAATGATTAATTATTTATTTTGCATTCTTTCACTGAACATCATCACAGCATACAAAATGCAGTTTCCCAACCAGATACACTGTATAGTGGCTTAGGCATACATGTTATCACAAATAAGTTTCCATTTCTTGTTACACACACACACACATGTATGTGTATATATATGTATGTATATGTTCATGTATTATGTATATGTATGTATGCATGTATATGTATGTATATATGTATATGCATGCATGTATATATATATGTATGCATGCATATCCCATTTCTTACCCTCTGCCATATCTGACCCTCTTCCCACTCTGTCTCTGCTATCTGCAGTTGCTTTCCATTCCTTTTTTTTCCTCCCACATTTTATTGGTTAACAAAATATCTTAATTGATCTAACTACTTTCAATTCTTTTAAGTAAAATCCCTTAAACTTAAAATTTGGCAGTTTTAGTTTCAGAAAGGTCTTACCTTGTTCTAGTCCAGTGGATACTGGTTAGGTCAAAGGCAGAGTCCCAGCAACGCATGGGGAAATCTCATCCCTTTTGACTGCTTGGAGATCGTTTGTTACCTGAAATTTCCTTAATGAGGAATGATACTGGTTTTGTTTGATAAAAATGATTTTAAATCCTAATGTAATTATGAAAAAAAAATTTATACCTAAATTTTAAGGTAATGTCCTCATACTGATGTTTTTTTTTTTTTTTCCTGAGGAAAAAAAATATTTGTTATTACTGACGAGAGACTAGCCTCATAGATAATTCAAGGAGAATAATTTAGGTTTTTCAACCTAATTTTTATAAGAAGATAAAGAATAACAGATTCTCTTATTCACATAAACTCTGAATTGCTTTACTTAAATGCCTTTTATTTTCTCTTTGTAATTCATTTTTTCTATAAAATATAAGGCTAGTGAAGATATTTTATGATAAATAGTCATAAATGAGAGAAATATTACCTGAAGTGGTCAAACATTATTGCTTTCAGCAAAAACAAACAAAAAAGCCAAGGTTTTATGTAAAGTATTTATCAGTTTAAAGTAACCTGAAGGAGAAGGCACTCTTTTGCATTTTATTTGTTTTTAATTTTTAAGAAATATGTACAATTTAGTGAATTTTGTGTTTTAGAGCTTTAAGATTTTTGTGTCATAAATGTGTTTCAAGCATAGTTCCCTCTAACAGCAGCTTTAGAAATGTCAGTTTCTTCATTAACAATTTTATTTTCAAACACAATTTATGGTTTACAATATGGTAAGAGATTTTTCTCACTGTGTGATCTTTCAGAATGCTGTGCCTAGCAAAATGGGAGCAACTCTCCTTTAATATCTATTTGGACCATTTTAAAAACGTGTATAATTTTCTTGATACACCTAAACTCATTTTGAATAGTTGGGGGTCTATTGTGTGAGAACACATTCTGAAAGCTTTCAAATGTGTATTGTGTAGGTTTTCTCAGAGAAAGAGAGGGGGTGATGGGGTGGTTTTCAAGAAGAACAGAGGCCTCTAATCCTTTTATTTTTATGCAAGGCATAATTTTTACCAATTGAGAAAATTTGGTTATTTGCTGCAAGTAATTTTTCCTCTTAAAAAACGATAAGCCTTAAAAAACCATTTGTATTCTGGCATTTCAAAAACATGCCAATATTTCAGAGTTGTACTAAAAATTAGTTAATGTAGCCATGATATGTATGGCTAGCAAGCTCCTGTTTATGAAGCGTTGACTGTTCTTGTTGGTATTACTTTTGAAGTACCTTCAGTTTTGGACCATTCCTGAGGCTTCTTTGAAGAAATAATGACTGGTCAAGAAACATGTATTTTTAAGGGCCCCCTATTAAGAAGTTTTCTTGTTTTTGTTTTCCATTTATAAAATTGAAGACCAATATCCCAAACTTGTGTTATTTTTCATATATGTATCCAATTTCACTCATCAATCTTATGATTGGCCCTCTTACCTATAGTAGTATATTGTGAAAATTATATACATATAAAAACCATTTTCATATGTCATGAAAATGGTTATATTTTAAATTGAAGAGACAGGAAGATAAATTTTTTTTCTGGCAACTATCAGAAGTGGTTATTAGGGAAAACACTGATTCATGTAACAAAGTCTCCAAGGTGCTTAGTACTGATTATATAGTAATTCTAGGTAGTGATAGCATTTTTAGTTGCAGCGAGAAATTTTAAGTGTAGATTGAAGGGAGTAAGTAGCAACATACATAATTTAAGAGTAAAATTTCAAATTAGGACTACCACTTGAGTAGTTATACCATTGATTGTACTTCAGTGTACTTGATAATGTGGCTCTAGAATCAAATTTTATTGAAAAGGATTTATTTCTTTTCTTTTTTTTTTTTTTAAGAGAGATTTTTGCTATAGAGTGTTTTTTGCTGGAGAGACAGAGAGACAAAGCAGGAAATCATTCTGGGGTCAGGGGTGGGGGAGGATGGCCACGTCACAATCCCCTGTCCTCCATTCTCCTCGTGGGATTTTGGGCATGCATACACATGCGCCTGGCATGAGTTAGCTGCTGGGTCTGGGACTCAAACCACGGTCGACTACGTGGGAGTCCAATGATATAACTTATGCTATCTGTTGGTCCCCATTTTTGTTTTTCTATGCACAAATTATTTGAACAATTTTGAAATAAAAATGTAAATATGCCATGGGGTATTTTTAATAAAAGGCTGTCTCACAAAAATTGAAAAAAAAAAAAAAAACCACTCAGATTGTAGATCATTCGCTCTATAGCCTAAAGTATATAGGCTATGCATTATGACTGACAGAAAAAAAAAAGATATTTATGTATGTTTGAAGTTTGCTTTAATTGATCTGTATGGCAATTGAATAGAAACTGTAACTTGGAAAAATAAAAATAAAAAATACTATTTTTTAAGCTGATCTTCCAGTTAAGAAACCAAGTAACCACAGTCAGAAAACCTTTAGAAACTGTTTGTTATTACACTGGTGGGATAGATATTGTGTCCCACATTCAATGACCATTTTGTACTTTTCAGAAACGAGTATTGATCTGTTATTTAGTGCATTCAATTGACTAGTTCTAGACTACCACGCTGTCCCTCCCTCTGGTGCCACTGCTCATTCCTGGCTGAGCGGATGGTGGGTCGGACCGGTCAGTGGGAAGGAAGCATCCACACTTGACCTGCCAGCAGAGGCAGAGGTGATCAGGGAAGGACATCTTCTCACTGCACTGTGCTGGCGCAGGAGGTGGGGTGGGGTCATAAATGGGAGGAAGAAGTCTCCCTGGAAAGGCATAATTCCCGTGTCTTGTGCTGCCATAGAGAATCACTGACATTTGGCCCAGGGAATCGTGGGTAGATAGGCGCCGTCTGAAGGCACTTAGACCAGCATAAGATAGGATGTTTTTCTAGGAGGCTGCACGATTCCTAGGGAAAATATTACAATCGCCCAGTGCTCTTCAGCTTCCTAAAAAATAGTGGTGGTAGGTTTTAATATTAAAGCCCCTCATGTAGGATAAAGTTCCTTGCTTTTCATAATAAGCATAATTGCATCTTTTCCTCTCAAGGAATGAGTGCTTGCTTGTCTTGTGCTGTAGTCTACATTTGGAGTTAATGTTTTAAATTTTATGGTAGAAATTTTTGGGAGAAATACTTCCTACCAGTGTAAATTAGACGTGTTTTACCAGTGGAAGAGTTCCTGTAGAATAAGGCTTAGGGCTAGAAGGTAGACTTTGTTAGCACACTTTTGGACATATTAAAAAATTGATGCAATTTCCTAAGATTTTTAGATTACTAAAGATTACTAACAATTAGACCTTTTAGTGCAGATTTCCTTGTGACAAACATCAATTGGATTTTCAAATATTAATAGTACACATGGGAATATTTTTCTGTTCTTCTCTTGATTTTGTAAATTAATGATTTAAAATTCTTTGATTTCTCTTCAAGGTTCAAGAACCAGAAAGAGACTCCAGAAGTAAATCAAATGCCATGAACCAATTTTCCTTTTTTTCCTTTCATTGGACTTTTGTATTGTGTTTTATTTTTGTGAGTCTTGTGCAGTGGAAGCAGTAATTAAATATCTATGTCTTTGGAAAACAAACTTAAAGAAAAATACTTTGTACAATTTATTAAAGGCTAACGTATGGAATTCCCATATCGTCAAGTTATACTCTTTAAGCTTTCTCAAGCTGTGTGTGTTTGAGGTTTGGGAGTCCATGTAAGAAAAATGACTATAGATGATGTGCACTCTTCTAATCACTGTGCGTTTCCTAGAATGGATAAAAATGTCTGTCAAAGTCCTCACTTTTAAGGAAATGCAAAACTTAAAATAAAAGTCTCTTTTTGCTTGATAACAGATACACAATTTGTTGGCGGGCATGAGGTTTGGTGTATGTTGATTTGTTCTGTTCCATAAGCATCCATTAAACACCTGCTGTACAAAGAATGGAAAGGAGTATGAAAAAAAAAAAGTGGACTGAGTGTATCTATGATAGAGAAAATATACATATTTGAAATTTCCTAAGAATGATGTAAGTATGCAAATCATATGACAAAAAAGCAGGTGATAAATCATCAGGGGGTAGCACTTTCAAAGACTGAAGACTGACTTCCTTTAAGAAAGTCCTAAGTTGGAGGGAGGGCAAACACATATAGATAGATACAGTTATATAGATTATTATTTATTATATAATACATTATCTTGTAGTAAATATACAAATATATATGCACACATAGAGAGAATACACTTATTTTAAATTCAGTTTTTAAAGCATGTAGTATTTGTACTGTAACCAAGCATTTTAGAATTTTAGTGACTAGAAATTTCAGAGATGGGATGTTTTTAGTTGCCTTGGGAACAAAAGCTTGGAATTTTAACATCTTTATGAATGGTTTCAGGTATATTTGCTGTTAGAGAAACTGGGATTGGAGTCTGTTTTCTAATGGCTGACACACCTTACCACTGGAGCACATGCAGTGTTGTAGGTGGTATTAAGGACTCAACTTCGTTTTAAGCGCCAGAGTGTGTGCACATGCCAGAGAAAAAGGGAAAGAAAGCTTCCCGACAGTGGGAGGTAATCCCATCTCAGTCCCTTCTCCTCTCTTTCTCCATGCTGTTAAGGTTTTGAGCGTGCACGCATTTGTGCCTGGAATGTTCTTCAAGCCACCAGTGCTGAGATTTCACAGTCAGCAATGTGGAATCTGACTTTCATGCTAACTGGGTGGAGGGGCCGACCCTAGGACACAGTTACACTTAAATACTTAAGTTTTTAAGTAGGCATTTAAGAAATAATAACTAGGACATTAAGTTAGGATTTCTCTGTTGCTTAGGACAAGCCTAAACTAGCCATTTCAGTTTTTAAAAAGTGTGTTGATTTGAAGAAAATACTAAGTAATTTGTTGTACAGGTGGAATGTGGACATAGGAGAAATTGTCAAGGTTACCCCAAGTTTGAGGAACTGCATCAACACTATGATTGTAACTTTTGGCTCTCTGATGTGGGTATTTAGTTGTCCTGTGAAGCATTTATCACAGTAATAGGCAGATTGAAAAATGCAAAACCGATCTTCAGACTTCCCTTTGAAGGCTAATCCTTGAATACCTCCTAAAGTTCTAGAGCTGTGTGTCTTTTTAGAATAGAGAATTAGATTTGGGGCAGAGATGACCCCAGCTCTGTGTAAAAGGCTGGATTTTTGTACTCCAGTGTTATGGTCCCAAGTGTATTTGAAACACCTAAATCAACTCTCAAGTTCTGCTTTAAACACATTGACGCTTAAAATAGGATTAAATATGTGTGGTGTGTTTTTGAATATATGCCTTAGCCTTTTTTATTTCTCAAAACACAAAACATAGCAAAACCTGTTGGTTAAATATTAAGAAAACAGATACTTCCTCACATATTGTTTAAAATGAGTACTGGCGTTCTGTCGAATATTACTGTGTCGGCGTGGCTAGAGAAATGAGTGAGAAGCTACTAGCCACAGTAGCCAGCTTGATCCCTCAGGGTCAGCCGCC